TTTTATAAATTTACAATTTAATTGAGTTACTTGTTCTTGTTCCACACATTTGTTTGAAAAAATTTTATATTCATTTAAATTTGAAACATTTTTTCTTAATACTTTATCGATTTAGTTTTAAACAAAACTAGATTTACTACATACAAGAGTACTTCAATCACAGTGCATCTAATAGTATTATTGCATATAGTACTTAAGATAAATTTATACATTTATGTCTCCGTATAGTCATCATTTGATTATTTAAAAACTATGACTCTATTTCTATATGACGCTTAATCAATGGTATAAAAATAAATGTAAAAATTAAATAGTAGAGGTGGCAAGGTCAAGTCAACTTTTAATGTGAATATTTTCTTTATTTTTTCCTTTTGTATAATTTCTTGTTCATATTTCTTGCATATTTTTATAGCCAACAAGATTTCTTAGGAGCCAGATTCTTATATCGATGAAATTGTATATAAACTGGTATATAATTTTATAATTTACCCGTAAAATCTACTATACGTATACAAACATTCATATCTTTTGTTTGTTTCATTATTGATAAATTTTTTAAAAATAATAATGATATTATGGGTATAAGCTAAAGTTAAAAACATTATATTGACCATTCATTATCAATTACAATTATAAAAACAAAAAGAAGAGAATAACATAAAAATTATTTTTAACAAAAATATACATTTAAGTAAGCAAAAAGAGAAATGTTTTTACATAGCAGCACCATTATTGTAATAATACATTTACCTTAAATTTATGTACATGTACCAACTGTATGTATACATATGTTATATTCATTATAATATATTATACATTTTATATTGTAATCAACAGCTTAATTATTATATTACAGTTAAAGCCCCATATATTATATTCACCGGTATAGTGATGTCACCTTCAATTTGTCTAGATTCTTATCGCCCTTGAAATAAGTGATTTTTTCAAAAAAACGGCATCATTACTGGGACAGTCCTCATATCCCGTATGTTAACAACAATTTTCTGATCATTTCAATATTGAAATTGCTTCCATTCGCTATTGATTCTTCCAACAAACTTCAAAAAGCATATTATGTCATTATTCAAATCACATATAGGCATGTTAAAAGAGGCTATGCAAATAATAAAATTTTGGAACAAATGGACTAAGTCAATATGATGACCATATTTCTCTTGCCCTTGAGCGGTCACTTATTGATGTTTTACTGTATTTACATACGGCTAATTTATATATGTGTACATTATTAGTTTTATGCATACATATAGACGCATAATAATAATAATAATGATAATAAAATACCATTATTAGGGTATGAGAGAACAAAGTAACATTCTTTTGTACATTACAAAATATGCATATACATTTATTATAGTGCGACCCTAACAATATCAAAAATGGATCTGTACAGTATCCGTTTTCATCATAGTATACAATATTATAGTAATGACATATCTACATACATTCGTATTTACGTAATATATGTATATAAATTTTTTTTAATCTTAATGGTCACCCGATGGGTTTTATGTTACGTTACAGAGGATTCATTTTGTCATTTATTTCGAATATTTTGTTTGTTTGTTTTGTTTTTTTGTGGTACCCACATTATTATAGGGTATAGGTAAAATGTTTGCTTTTAATAAAAAAATATTGTATGTATAATTTAGGCATATATTTATATATTAATTCATTGACGTAAATTTACGTATGTTCAGACATACTGGCATACATTCATGCATATATGTGAACGGTATATGAAGCTTATGTGATCGGAATATACAAAAATTGGTTTACACTGCTAAAATAGCAAATTACTTGCAGTCACGTTACAGACGTGAACCTTGAAATATACCGGTAATTTCATGACAGGGATTAAAATCGTATACTGTTCGATTTTATTTTTCTCCTTTGATTTTTTTTGTTTATTTTGTTGTATTTCCCTTTATTTCTGTTGTTTGTTAATTTTTTGTTTTTTGTTTAAGGTAAATTTTATGTATTTTTTTTTCATGTTGTAATTTTTTTTCGGGTTTTCTTTTTCTACTTTTATTTTTATTTATTTTGATTTTGTGTATAGAGCTTTGTGGTAGTTCTTTATAATTTAGGTGACTGCCTCTTAGTTTTTTCTGCTTTTGTTTTAACTGTTATTGTTTTCTATATGACGTACAAACATTTTATACATAAATACAATATGCCTGAATATATTAATGTGTATATATTTGTGTATTGTATAGTTATATAAAAAGGTAGGTTTTCTGTAATTGTAATTGGTATTTAGGATACGAAATTGTAGACAATTGTGAATTAAAAATAACACAAACAACAAAAAAAGCAATAGCAACTATAATAAGAAAATGAAGAGAATGTTTTTTTTGTTATATTTGTTATTTTGTATTCATTTTGTTGGGTGATGAAGGGTGGTTTATTTGATTTCAGAATTTCACACAGGCATATTAACCCATGTATTTGTGTGTGTATATTGTTATATAATATGAGCCAAATATGCTTATACGTTATGTTTACAAGAACATCTTATGTTGGGTATATTGGGTGTAACCTACAAAACTGTTCTATAATTTTTTATTAAATAATTTTTTCTCTACTTCTATTCTTGTTCGGTTTTCTTGTTCTGTTATTTTGGCTTTTGTAAAGGATTTTTCTTTTTATTTAATATATAATTATTTGAATTTGTATGTATTTGATGGTTTTGTAGGTAACATTAATAAATAGGAAAGTATAAGTAAAATTATTTAAATAGTTTTTAGTTTTTCTGTTTTTGTTTTGTATTTTTTTCTAAGTTTTATGTTACAGTTTTTCATGTTATATTAAAGCGGTAGAAGAAAAATTTTAAAGAAGGTTATTATTAAAGTTCACAGAAAGAAATTGCAAAAAAAAAAAAAAGTGAGAGAAAAATATTGTAAAACTTAAAGTTTTGAAGTAAACAACTAATTTATGTTTTTCACATTTCTATTTTTCATTTGCCATTTTCGTTCATTTAAATACGGCGGGGTATATAAAAAATTTACAAGTTTTGTTATAAGTTATACATAAATAGATGTAAAGTGTATATTTATATAAAATTTTATGTGAAGAAAATGAGAAAAAAAGGAAAAACTAATTTATAAACTTAAAGAGAGTATTAATTTTACGGTTTTATGTTTACCATTAATTCGATTTCATGTAGAGATTTTTTGATTAACATGAAAATATAGCATTATTCATTATAATTTGAAGTTTATAAACTTTTATAAACTTTTATACTAGAGAATATCTAATTTTTAGTACTCAATCTGCTTTTGGCACAGCAATATTGATAAGAAGTGCTTCTTAATAGTTTTCATCCATTCGTTTGTCTCTGTGCGAGTTTTACAATTTCTCTTCTTTGAAATGAAATTAGAGATAGAAAGTTAAAATTTAATACGCAAGTAGATCTGTACTAAAAACTAAATTCTCTAGATAAAAATTTTGATTTATTTCTCCCGCTCTTAAGGGTTTTTATACTCTTCAAATTCCTTAAATTTTCATCTTTTGAGAATTTACTGTAGCAGACGCTGTGGCGATTTTTTTTTTAAAACTTTTGATTGTTTACGTTTTTCTCTTTATAAGTGAGTTGTAGGAATTTAAAATTTTGACAGTTCTAAACCTGACAAATAATTTATATTGTTAGAGCAAAATTTTTTCCTAACCCCTTTTTTCATTCAAACTATCAACACTGGAAATTAGAAAAATTTCAATTTTTCGGCAACTTATATTTCCGAAGTTCGTGCTTTTAAAATTTTAAAAATGCAAAAAGTTAACAGTAAATGTCTCGCTCGCTATCAAAAAGTATAATAAATTATGTTATTTCATTTTATTAACCTCCAATTTGATGATTATATTCTAGGTTTTTTCTTTTATTTCTTGTGCTTTCCCCAAAAAGTATGCAATCTTTTTTTATTGTATCAAATCATTTAAGACTTTGTGCAACTAGCTGCATTGGATATTTTGAGCAGCAGAATGCTTTCAGTTTAGAGGGGAACGTGCTATTTAATAAAACAATGATCCGAATGTATTTTTTGAATTTTTTTTAAAAAGGTGGTGGTTTTTATGCCCATACGAACGTATGTTCGAAGAGTATACTAAATTTGCCTTACCATTTGCAATGCTAAGAAATGGTGGTTTAAAATATTCACTGAAGTATATGTTTTTGATCAGCGTGGAATTCCGAGTCGATTTAGCTTTGTTCGTCTGTCTGTTCGTTTGTGCGTCCGTCCGTCCGTTCGCCCCAATGAAAACTTAAAAACCAATTGAGCTAAGTTTACCAAATTTTCATAAATGATTTACCATAGTAAAAACCAGAATCATATTTAAATTGGTTATGATCGTGGTACTGGTTCGAGTACTTGCCATACAACTTCAAAATTTATTTGGATATATCTCAGAAGTTATAAAAGGTGTAGTATTGAAATTTCACAAAAACGAATATTTTAGTAGGACCAATGAGTTTGATAAAAGTCGTTGAAATTGTTTGGCTCTTTCTAGTACCTGCCATGCAACTCCAAAGGTTATTTGGCATTATTTCAGAAACTATTGGAATTATAATATAGAAATGCCATGAAAACAAATGTATTGCTATAGCTGTTATGTGTGATAAAAATCGTTGAAATTTCTTGACTCCCTGTTTTTGAAATTTTTATTCGCCTATACTACAATTAAAATATATATAAGGGAATACATTTCAGGTGTGAAAAAATGATACATAAAATGATACATTTCTTCACGTTAGTGTTATTTTTGAAGGCTAAATTAATATTTTTAGGTATTTTATTTGTGTAAAATACGGTGTACCATTTTTTTAACTATGTCAACCATAATTCAAAATAGCTACCTAAAAAATTTATTTTAAAGTTTTCACATTTAAAAAAAAAATGTGTTTATATTTAGAATTTTGTTGTCATAAGGAACCCGACATTTTTAAAATATCATTTGCTAAAAATTAATTTGAATATTTTAAAACTTACTCCTAAATTTCTTATTGATGATTGGATCTTACCTGAAATTAAAGAAAATGAGAAATTGAAAATTAAATACTTCAATAAACAAAAAATATTAAAAAACATTATAAAAATTATCACTAATATTTTGCTATTCAAATTAAATAAAAATGAAAGTTAAACTCTTACAAGTGGTTTTCCTTAGTAGTAATTTTGTATGTTAGTGTTTATGTATACAGAAAAACAGAAATTGCCATTGATGTCACGCAAATATTTGTTACAAGAAAATTTTTAATGGCATAAATTTCTTTAATTTTTTTATTTTCTAGTTTCATTTAATTTTTTATCAAATAATTCAATAAATTAATACAAATTGTTAAAATTTTGTTACAATTTTATATGTTTAGTTGTATGGAAGTTGTATGAAATTTTTCAAAGGACTTGAAATTTTTTAATGAAATGTGAAAGTTGTTTTTAGAAGTAAAATATGAAAATTTGTGAGGACTGTCTCAATTTAAAAATTTGCTTATTGTCCTTAAGAATTGTCGAATATAAGTTCATTTAAACTGATGATAAAAAATTAATTATTTTGTCGTTACATAAACCAAATCACTTGAATACAGCTCCCATTTTTTCACTTGAATATTTTTTATTGATTTCCTATTATATTTAATTGTATATGAAAAGTTTCTATATCAATTCAAAACTTTTGTAATGATTTCTACAAATCGAATTACTAAATAATTTATAATAAGATAAATAAAAAAATAATGTCGAAGGAGTTTTGAGAAACTTTACCGAAACTATAAGAATGATTTTTCATATAAGTTTACAACTACATCTTCATAATACTCGTATTATATGTATTATAAAATATTATATATGTTTGCATATATTCTCACTACAACTACACTCACACATTCATGTATATATGGCTTAATATAAAAGTTTCTCAAGAGACAATAAAATTAATTTTAACTAGGAAAATTCAAATTAAATTCTTGAGTAAATTTCGATTTTCATATGTAATATTCCTAAGAAATTCTTAATTAAATTTATTAGGAAAACGTTTCACAATCTTTATACATTTTTTGCTTATTAATTTTATAATATTTAATTATAATTCATATCAGGTAGAATTTGGAATTATATATAATTTTCATATTATATAATGTTTAATTAAGGATATTTTATAAAATTTAATTTAAATAAGTTGAAAAATTACATAGCAATAATGAAATAATAACGAATAAATTGAAATTGAAAACTAATTAAAGTTAGAAGAATACAAAGCTTAGAAGTAGCTATCCACATAAAAATATTTTAGTTTTGATAAGTTATGCGCCCAAATTCAAATCATGGATGCAAATTTAAAAAAAAAAAGCACATTATGTATTAATGAATAGTCTTGAGTTATTTAGGTTTTTTTTGTATATAACAAAGTCATTAAAGCTCCTCTATTAAGTGCAATATTTTCACTAATAAATTTGCTATATTTATAGTCTACGCATTTAATTTAATAAAATTGTAAGTTTCACATATATTCCTTTAATTCCATGTACATAATATTTTTGTAAGTTCAAATTTCTAATATAACAAAAATGTATTGATATAAGTAATATTTTAATAAGTAACTTCCTTCTTGTGACATATAAGATAAAAGCCTTACGTTTCATTGATATCTTTTCGTATGGATATAAATAAAATTGTATATATGTATGCATTTTATAACGGATCATGAAAAAATTCCTATATATTGAAATATCACAAGTCATTATTACTTAGTAATGATTATATTTAAGTGAAAAATCATATATGAGATTCTCAAGAGAGAGGAAAAAACTTTTTCTTTTATTATTATTAATTTTGTAATTTATCATAATCACGTCTTTCGTCACATTATTTGTTAATTTATCTATAGTACTTTTAATGAATTGAATATTAATTTTTTATTATTATTATTTGTTATTTTATTCATTCATTTCAGATTATTATCACTCAATTATTTCCTTTCCGTTTTGTTTTCTTTTTGCTTGTTTTTCTTTTTTATTCACTCTCTTTCTCTTCTTAATTATTATATTACTATGTTCTCAGTCAATAAAAATAATTCTGTGATAAGAATCTCCTAATTCATATTTGATTTACAAGAGACATTTAATTTGTCAACTGTGACATTACACTTTCACAGGAAATAAGTTAGTTTTCTTTCACTTGTACATTTTAAGGGGCGTATAGATAGTGTGAATCATATATTCCCGGCAGAAGAGTACCTATAAATATCTTTCATTTATTGCATTTAAATTTTTGTTCGTAACTGTATTAGGTTAAAATAATTTTTTTGTTACCAAATTGACAGTATTCTCAATTCTTAAGGAAAAATAAGTGGTTGAAATGGAACGAATGAATTTTAAGGCTTGAGCTTATCAAGAGTTTTTGGACTCGATTTATAAAAAAAAATAAAAGAAAAGAATAACAGTAAAAAGAAATTTCTAAAGGGAATACCAATTTTAAATTGACATTTGTTTTGATAAGAAATACTTAAAATGACAATCTGTCAGTGTAGTTACCAGTAAATAAAAGTTTTCTATTTCATAAATTTGCTAAAATTTGTTTTAACCAGGTATACATAAATTTTAAAATTATAAATTATGTGTTTGTTGATAACTATTGATTAAATATTAAAATATTTAAAAATTTATGATAAATTTTTTGGAAAAATCTAACTGCATCAAAAAATTTCAATCCTTCTCATTAAATTTCATTGCTGTTCTTATATATCTTGGCTCTCCCATATCAAATACTATTCGTTAATTTTGAATTCAGAATTTAAAATTAGAGTTTAAATATGAGATTAAAAATTAATTTGATAGTATGACAGACAAGTAGACGGATACAATTTTACTACATATAGTTTTCGACATTTTCTTATTTTTTTTCTCTTTTTGTTTTTCCTTGTTTTATTGGAAATGCGTCAATTAATATCATGTCAATTATGTTACTTATTGAATACCGTTAAAATATGTGTACTTATAACAGTAAACATAGCTATTAAAACATAACGTATGTGTGTGCTAATATATGAATATGTATGGAATACGTATAGATTGTGTTTAAGTAATATGAAACATATTACTTATATGAGTAAAGACCGGAAGTAAAATAAAATTCTATGAATTTTACTCCTTCTATAAAAAGGAGTAAAATAAATTAAATTTTTGCTTTTATCAACATTCTAGAATTTTTTTCATCAAAAGGGAAAAGTATAAGTATTGAAACATATAATGTATGTACTATTCTACGTTATAATATATTGTATATGTATCGTATTTTCAACCATTATCCTTGTAAACGACAACTAATTAGAAATATAAAGTATACAAAGTATTTGATAAATGAAAACGGTATCTTATCGATCTTATAAGCTAATATGATTGAAATTTATTAAATACCTTATAATTAGTTGATATTATAATTCTGAATCCAAGTGCTTTAATTAAATTTAAAAAAATTACAAGTTATTATACATTTTATTTTAATGTATGAAAATTTTAAATATAATCTAGAATTTTGTAATTAAAAAGCATTCAAGAAATATTTCAGAAAAGTAAACGTAACAAGCTTTTTCGAAAAATCAAATTTACATTGGCTTTAGATGATTGAAGAATATCCTTTGAAGGTGTTGTTTTACTATGTAAAAATGTGTTAACCTGCACAATTTAAAATACAACAAATTCATATAATTTAGTTTTTACTAACACTAAAATAGAAGAAAAAAGAAATTATTAAATTGGAAAGCATTAAATTGGAGCAAAATTAACATGTAAATTTTCACAATTGCCACAAATAATCGAACACAAAAAAAATAATATCAATCTTCGTACACACACTAAACTAAAGAATTTTATTAGAATTTAATTAATAGCATGTGTTATTTTAAACGAAAAAATTGTATTGTCAGAATGTCTTAAAATTTTTATAATATCAAAGTGTATAATATATAATTAAGAAAGAGAATTCATTAATATTACCCCCAAGAAACTCCATTTTCGTTATATACAAAACTACATACTTAGAAGTCAAATTATGTATGAACATACAAGTGATTCCAATTTTTAAATGAGTAGAAGGATTGATAAAACAATCGATCATCCAATATATAGGATTACTTACCCTATATATTCTTATACATAATATAGACAAAGTGTTTAAATAGAAAAAAGGATATTTATATAACATAAAGTGTATATAAATATTTATTTTCTCTATATATGTACTTTTTATGTATCTTTCGTAATTACACATGCATAAAATCAATAACGGAAGTTATTAGTCATTAGAACACATCATCATATTTTTAATGTGTGTACCTTACTTATATACATAAAATATAGTTTTCCATTCTTTATATTTACAATCATACTATAAGTATAATAATTTTAAATATATATTGAAATTACGTGTGTATTTATTTAGATATGTATATGTGATTAAAAGCAATTCAATACCAGATACATCACCATCAATTTCCTGTTCAAAATATATTTTATATTGTTTTAGTTTATTTAACATTAAAAGTACATACATAATATACACAAGTTCAGGTATGTATATGGCTTCATATATAAGCACCTACATGTTAGAATCAAAATATCCTTTATAATTAAATACACTTGTTCATAATAATGTTCACTTGTATAAACATAATGTGTTTTAAAATATGATTTGTAAGGAGAAAGAGAGAGCAAGAGTGAGAGCATAAAAAAATTTTAATGTATCTTTTTGCGGATGAAAAGTTTTTTTTTGCCAATAAGTCTCTAAATATAATTTTCTAGCATTTTCTAACTATTCATGTATTTACATTAAATTGATTTTCTCTTTATTTATGAATAAAATTTGAAAGTTTGAATTGTATGTAGATATGTTTTATATTGGTTCAGTATTGTGTAAAATGTATGTACTTATGTGTTTAATATGTTTAATATGTAATAGGGAAATTTTAAATGTGCATATAGGATGGATCAGCAATAAAACAATCATTTACCTTCTAAGTTAATTTTCAACCTATTCCCAATTCTAGCATTTAGTCACTTTTTTAAGGTGTTTTGGTGTTTTAAGGCATTTAAGTGTTATGAATGCAATTATGAATGATACTGAACAACAATAAATTTAAATAATGCAGTAAATAATTCTGATACCCGGCCTTCTTTAACCTTCAGATAAAAACGCGCAAAAATCTATGATATCTTCAATTCCTGAAGATCTGATTTCTTACGAAAACAATATTCCCAAGAAAATTCAATTTTTTTTTTGGGGAATTTTATTTCAATGCCATTTTTCATTTTAATGGCCAGCAAATTTAACAGAACCTTTTAATTCTATTTCCCCTAAAGTAAAATGTATTTTTACGTTTTCATGCCATAACTAGTTCGAAAAATTTTCAATTGAGGGCTCTGAAATTTTCTCTTGGAGCCAAAGCTTTGTGAAAAATTCTAGAAATCTTTGTATATCGGAAATCGTAGAGTCTTAGCTTGCTTGACACCTACTTCTTTACTTGTATTCTTTACGGAATCACCCTGTGTGAATAAAAAAAGTATACTATATCACTCTAATTGGAAATTGTGAATACCTAAATAATTTAACAGAGTGAAATTTTTTGGTCAATCATTACTAATTGAGTTCGATTTTAGAAAAAATTACCTATACTTATTTAACGTACATAATATACATACACATATGTGTGTACCTAATCAGTATTTTAAAATAAATGGGTATTTGTAATTTATATACACGATAAGTATACTAAACATTAATAAATTTAAAATTCAAATTTCAATAGAACTTAAACTGAAATTACCATTTAATACAATACTAATTTTAGATGTTAGTTTAGTTTTTGTTGTTCTTTACCTTATTTTTTTGTAAATGCTCTTACTATGAATTTTATATTTTTGTTGAATGATAGTTTTCAAGTATTTAAACTTAATATTCAAATGTTGATAGTATCAAGTACTTTTGCATTTGAAAAGCGGAAGAAATTTTTGTAATCAAGAAAAAAATTCCATATGTGAAGGCTTACTGATTTTATTTATTTATTTTTTTTATAGGAAAAATTTTATTAATCCTTCTATGAAATTTTATTTTAAATGAATGAAAAATATTTTATGTTTTCCATTTGGAATATCCTTTTTTAGATTGTTCAATTTGAATACTACTTATAAAGAATTATTTTGAAGCAATACGAGTGTATTGGTCCTGTGCATATGTTTTAGATTTTTTTTCGCTCTTGTTTAATATTTTATGAATTTTGTATTCATTGCTTTATGTACAAAAGCTTTCCGGTTCTTTTTTTGACAAAAATATATTAGAATTTTATTGTTGGGAGAAGAGAACTTTTGCCCTGGGATTTAATTTTTTTTAATAAAATATGAAAAAATTTGAAATTTTTCTCGTTTATATTATACTTTTAGTCATTGTTATTTGTTTCGATGTATTGTTTATTGAGAAGGCAACAGTTATTATCCATGCATATATACATATCCATTATATTTTAAACCAATTTTCAATTGTCAACGAGAAAAGACAAAATTAACTGTGTTAACTCAGCAACATTCATTCTGAAATCTTTGGATAGTTGTTTGATAGTTGTGTGGATTCACTTCTAATATTTTCTTTCGAGTTGTGGCTCCATTATTACACTTCACGGCGTGAAATCGGACTTGTAGTTCGCATTTTTTGGTAATTTCTAATCTTACAGTTTCTACGATATGACTAAATTATTTTTTAAGTTGTATGTCAATTCTACTTGGAAGGCAGCTTATTAAATTTGGTCAGACTAAATCAATTCAACACAATTAAATTAAAATTCATTGTGTAAAAGCTTTAAAATTACTGTTACGTAATTGTAAAGAATATACTTATATTATACAATCTGTTGAAATGTTTAACCCTGCTGAAATAGTATTATCGATGTATTTTCAAATGTTAAATCATATACTCAAATTGTCGTTTTATAATTGACATTTTGTTTATGAATTGTTAATTTTTCCGTTTCCTGTTCTGTTCTTGTCTTATTCGTAGGTAGAACACACATGAGTTAAACAAAAATAGAAATTTAAGGTATATCAAATATTAGCAAATATATCGACAATATTATTTCAGGTATGATTGAACATTTCAATATTACCAAAGACCAATACTTTTCTTTTCAAAACGAGCTTATTAATTTCTCAATCTCTTTTTCCATTCACATATTAAATTGACACTGTTTTTGTATCTTTTATTTGACATTTCGCTATTTCGAGCTTATATTTGATATCTGAAATGACTTTAACTGAGCTATAATTTTATATTACCATAATGAATTTGTTATATTGAATTCAATATATGATATAATTATTTAAAATAATATGTTATATGGAAAACCATAATCTGCAAAACATTTTTATAAATTTTCTAACAAATTACAGGTTTTTATAATTACATAATAACATTCATTACTCTTTTTAAATTTAATAAACCTAAATTTTTTCTTAAAATAATATTTATTGAATTACATATTGTATAGAATTCAATTGCATACAATTTTTCAATAATAATATTTAATTTACTAAACCCTTTAATTTTTATACTTAAATTTATAACTGGAATTATTAGTTTTTATTTTTATTTTACTAACATATTTAATCGCTCTATTTTGAATCTAAGCTACAAAATTTTACTTAATCGTCAATAATTATATAATAAGAAATTTAATAAATATGTATATAATTTAAAGGAAAACTATACCCTTAAATACTCAAGACATTAAAAATAAAGAATTGCTTTCTTGAAAATCATTACGTGTTTGTTAATCTTTCAAAATTACATAGCATTCTTATATACATGACGTGTTTTTAAGTTGTAATTGCATTTATGTACCATTTAACAAAAAAAAACTACATTGAACTATTTTGTATGTATAAAATCAAATATAATTTAAAACTGTTATATGTACTGTTATACATAAATGTGTATATGTGTTTGTATTATGTTAAAAAATATATGCTTCAATTATTCTTCCATTTAAAATAAAATTCACGTTGGATTTTAATTTTTTTTTCTGTTTTTCAACTTGTTTGTTGATTTGATAGCAACAATTTTAACATATAAAAAAGGACTTGGTTTTTCAAATAAAGGAAAAAAAAATCAAAAACATTTATTCAGGTACCTGCTACATGTTTTACATAAAATACGTTTTTTTATATTTTATTTTATTGTATATAAGTATGTTTAATGTTACAGGTACTCATCATCATAATTTATATTTTGTAAATTTAAATACACACATACCTACTTAATAATATTGTATATACGAGTAAGTAAAAATGTAATGTGTTGAATTTCATGTTATATTGTTGAATATTGTTCGTTACTCATATACATATTTTACTGTTATATGAGTATACATAAAATTTTTGTTGAATTATTTTCGAAATTTAAAATAAATTCATAGAAATAAGAAAAATGTATGGATGTACAAAATATAAAACTAATGAAAACCAATTGTGAGTGGTGTTGCCATTTGACCACATTAAAATATACACAATATGCTTTTGATGCATGTTTGCATTTCAAGCAAAAATAAAACAAAAATATTAAATAATATTTTGAGTTATAAAGAATTTAAAATTTACAAAAATTTAAATTAAATGTCGCATTTAGTGGTATACCCAAAAAATTTCATTTTGTATAGCGATATAAAAAAATACAAAAATTTTATTTTTGCATTGTATAAAATTTGAAATGTTTTGTGTAACCATAAAATAAATAAAAATTATAAAATTTGTATTTTACACTTGATTGAAGTTTGACAAATATAAAAACCCGTAAAATAAAATCATAGTGTATAAAAATCATGATATCTTTTACATACCAATATTATATTTGACCTTATAATTTAATTGCCAAAAAAATCGATTGCATATATTCAAAGTGTAAATTGCTAATTAAGTTCACTTTGATATTTTGATTTCATATATGTATGTATAAAAATTTTATTGATACTT